ATTTAAGGAGCTCTCAAACCCAAATCTTCTCAGAACCACATTAAATAATAAAAAAAGACAACACCAATAATAATATATTTACATGCATTAGTGTAATCCTGCACTTGGAACACTCAGACAGCAGTTGGTGTGTTTTATACCGTTTATTCTCACATCTGGTTACATTGATAGAGTGTACAAATCAGTGAGCAGCAAACGGAAGCCAACACATCCATCTAACTTAAATGGAGTGTTTGGTGTGTATGTGTGAGCTTGACAGGAACACTGGGAGTCTACTACTACTACTGCAGCCTCCTCCTCCTCCTCCTCCTCCTCGGATGAAGGCTCAGAGCAGCAGTGAACTCCCAGCATCAAGTGAAACTGTACAGGGTGAAAATGAAATCATTTCTGCTTTTCATTTTCCTGCGAGCTGGAGCCTTTTATAGTTTGAAGTCAGCTAGAGACTGAAACAAGAGACTTTACTCGGCCCAACTAATAAAATCAGTATATACCTTTATAAAATAGAATAAATAAAATAAAAAATATTTTTTTCCTAACATATAATTTCTCTTTCCARGAGCCAAGGGCATGCGAGGCTTTTTGTGACTATTCCTTTTCCTCTGGATCAAAAAAATGCATAGATAATCGCACAGTTAAATTCAGTATCAACTTAAGAGACAAGTGAACATATTCAGTCGCCTCAGCTGTTTTTAGGATTTGCTCTTGTATTTTCTTTTTTTTTTTCTTATCTACAACAATTTATAGAGTTATTTTACACTTTGGCCATTTGGTTTGTTTTCAAGAAAGGCATTTGATAACAAGAAAACAGGAAAAACATGAAGACATTCAAAAATAAAATGATAGCTTATAACGTGAACCTGTTACAATAAGTGGGTTTTATGTACAAACAGATGTCCTATATTCACATTTCAACATCCTGTGGGAATAAAAAAGTAAGATGGCTGAACTTCCCATCATTACAAAACTAGCTCCTTTTACAAACACTCTGCAGAGTTCACAAACAAAAGAAGAAAATCATGATAGGAGTTTGTGCACCTCATGGGAAATGTTGATCTCTGTTCAAGCAAACATTTGATTATCCCTTAAACACTGCATCAGTTAGGTCAATATTAATAAAAAACGGTCAAAATTCACAAGTTTATTCAAGTCTAAGTGTAAAGATTTGATGAAATTCTCCATGTAAGAATATGACATTTATTTTTTTCTGCATGTGTGAATATGTCACTTTAATGCTTCAAAAACATCAAATATTTGCATGTAACCTGTAAAAAGTCAACATTTTCCATTAGGTTTTACACGTTTCATAAGATTGCAGATTTGTACTTGTTTGCTAAGCCCCGCCCCCTTTGTTTCACGTTACAACAGCTGTCCAGCTTTTTAAGACCGAAAAAACGCAGATGATAGTGGTAACAAAAACTGATTTCTCCTTTAAAACATGCAGACATTTTTAAATTATTGATTCCTTGTTGTTGCACAGATAAAAGAAAAAGCAGCCTTCTATTATGCTCTTTAACTAATATAAAAACTGTCAGGTTTTATCCAGCTGACAAAAGAGAAAATACAACCTCTAGGATTAAGAAGTAAAAAAAAATACATTTTATAATTAAACTAGAGTAAAGTAACAGCCATCTTGATGGCTACATGCACTTTAAACAATAAGAGAGAAAAGCTGTGGGAGATGATTCCTCAAAGAAAATGTCAACTTGTTGTTTTTGTGCTGCTTTAAGCTTTTAAGCCCTACTGTTAGTGAACAAGAAACATCAGTGATGAATCTTATAAAGTTACACTTAGTTTTAAATAAATCAAAAACCTGCTCTAATGACAGGTAAGACATGTTTTTGTTTTGCTGTTAAACAGCATGCGTCTTCCACCTTGGTTTTTTGTTATAAATTTGCTTTCAAATACATTAAAAACAATAAGACAAACTAATACCCTCTTTGTCTTTGATTATAAACAGATTATAGATTTCAGTGGGAATACAGTTAACACATGGTAGATTTGTTAAGGTCAGGATTATTTTAAATAATTATAATTTGATTCTAGAGCCTGATTTGTTTCACAGTGAAATAATTTAAATCAAATAACTGAACAATGACTCTGCTTAGATTAAATATTTGATATAGATAAAATATTACAACATTTGGCGACAGTTACATTTCCATCACTTTTTAATCATTATGATGTTCGTCAAGCTGTGATTGGACCATGACAGTCTGGAGGAGGGGCTTAGCAAACACTAATCTGTACCATCACCAATGTGTTCATGACTTTCAGTGGAAGAAAAAGGCTGGAAACATTATCGTCCACCTCATTTGGACAGATATGAGATTACAGAAACACAGTGCTAAACTGAAACTGAGCAAGTGAACTTATGGCACGAGTGAAACAAACCTAAAGAGATAGTTCAGATATTTTGAAGTGGGTTTCTGTGGTAACCTAATGAATTAATATCTGACCTGTTATGGCTCCTTAAATGATGTCAGTTTAGAAAAAATGTTTAATTTTGACTGTAAGAAGCTAACTACTAATGTTCCTCCATCTGCTGCACAGGGTGTCATTTATTCTGGGGGGGATTCTGTAAGAATCATGTTCTTCAATTCCTCCAACCACACCTTATGATGAGACGAGCTGACTGAGATGGGGTGGGGMGTGTGTGTGTGGAGAAGGATTACAGACAAGAGCAGAGTACATCAGACTGAAGGGTCAGCAGCAGTGGAGCACAAGTGGTGTCTCTGCTCTACAACAACTGCGGGCTCAGTCATGTGCTGAGGTACTCAGGTGATTCTGTAATAGTTGGTTGTGTCAGAAATGGACAGGAGGGGGGGGGGGGGCGCAGGAGCCTGGTTGAGGTGGTGCAGGTCTTTTCTGCAGCTGAACACCTACAGGACCAAGAAGTTAGTTGTGGGCTTCTGAAGGATCAAACCTCACACAGATCATATCCATCAAGGTGTTCTGCACCTATAAATATCTGGCTCTGCTGGACAGGTTGGACTCATTGATCTGTATTACTGGACTGGACATCACCTACTAGCTGCTATAGCTATTGACACACCTCCATGGGCGCCATTACTATTCACCGAGCCATGTCAACAAAACTATACAGTTCCAATGCATCTGTCACAAAAACATTCATAGCGCCCTTATTTCTTATCAGATTTCTATAAAATATGTCTTAAATTAAAGCTGAGACAATTGTTGATGATGTGATATGTAAAAATAAGTATTCTCTCAAGAGATAAATTTATAAGCCAACTAGGGACTTTTGATTACATGTTTTGCTAATGCATTCACTATGGAAGCTATCCATCAGARGTGGACACAGTTTGACCCACAGTCAGCTCAGATTTACTCTGGTTTGTTGGAAAATCTAATGTAAAAAGCAATCTTTTTTTATCAGTCCATCTTCATTTGCATTAAATTTTCATTCGGTTTCAATTCATTAATATTCAGTTGGAACAAGCTGAATAGAGAATCTACATCGTGCTGCCACACATCAAGCAGATGAATTCATGTTACTTAGTGACAAAATGCTTTCAAAATGCTTAGTGATGAAATGCTTTCACTTAAATTAGGAAACTGAATGGAATTACAAGCTCCACTTCAGCCAGAGCTGGGGAACATTTCACGAATAGATGTGCGCATGCACACATGCATGCATGCATGCATGTATGTATGTATACATGCAAGTATGTATGTATGTATGTATGTATGTATGTATGTATGTATGTATGCATGTATACACTGTATATATATATATTAGATTTACTAGATCTACATGTTAATGATCTAACGGTAAACTACGGGAAGGAACTTATGCTGACTAGACAGCATAATATAGCTGACTAGTCCGATAATATAGATCTACACAGTTCAGCCTAGCAGTAAAGGTAATTTTACTGTTGAACATTGTATTCACAACCTCCCACYCTATTATCCTAACATGACAAAAATATRAATAAAACTATATAATTTGTTGGAACAGCAAATTTGTMGAGTGGGTTTACCAGACATAAGTTTGTCAAAACCACGCTGCAGAACTGACCTACTTCCTGCAACTCTGCCATTTTAAAATAAAAATTATTGTAATGACCTGTGAAATGTGATACCCTCTGATCTTGTTGTCATAGTGCTGACAATTTATAGCAAAGCATTGCGTCCCTTTTTGATATTCATTGCATGACTGTCTGCAGCGTCGCCTTTTTACGACCATCCATGGATGTTCCTGAGTCTCGACTCGATGCTTAGCAGTGGCACCTGTGTGGCGCATGAGTCATGTGATGTCCAATCCAGTAATACAGTTCAATGGTTGGACTGGTCTGTGAGCACCAAGGCAATCCACATGAAAGGACAGAGCTGCCTGTACTTCCTGAAGATACTAGWGTCTTTTGTCATTTTATCATGAATCTGAACTCAGTAGGAACTGAAGCTGACAGGAAGCTGGTCTCCCTCTGCACATCAGTGTTTGATGACCGACTGCTGACACCACCATGTTCAACAGAATGATTTAAAGGGGGGTATTATGTATTTTCCAAGCATGTAGTTCATTTCAATACCACAATCAAGTAACGATGTTACCTTCAGTTGTTATGAAAATGCTGTATTTATCAAAAATACATTTGATTTGATCTAAACGCCTTGAAATTGGCCTCTGTCTCTTTAAGAACCTCCTACTTTTTCTGACACTCCCACTTCAGCACAATTTCACAACAATGCTTCGGGGAAGGGGTGCTCTGTGGGACGGGATCTCAGCTGGGGACTGAGCTCCAGGGAAGAGCTTCGTACAAATAGGCGGAGCTTTGTACCAGCAAGCGTTTAGGCAGCTCCACGTGGCTACAGGAGATTCAAGGCACATGTTAGTCAAAGCAACACTGGTATGTTTTTGATGAGGGAATGATATTATAAGAAGATATAAAGCTCAAAAAAGTCAATTTTGCACAATAAACCCTTTAAAAAAACCTTATTTGAGCCCCAGTCCACAAGCCTGCAGAACCCCTGCCAGCCGTGACAAAACTACCAGACTTTTACATCTTTGCCATCAAGACAAAAAACAAAGATTCAACTGAATATTGTTAACATACCTGCTTGAATAAGCACAAATTTTAAAATTGACTGAGATGTAACAGTTTATAAATTAATACCTGCAGGAAAATGTTTGAATAGTTGTGAACTTATCAGAATTAAAATTCTGTTTCTTAGGTTGCTCAAGGTGGTATCTATTACAGGTAAGATAATTGTTCATAACCTTTTCACAGAACCCCACTTGAAATTATTTGAACTATCACTTTGAATGAAAAAGCACAGAAAGCACACTGAAGTGGGATAAACCCTTCAAGACAAATAGCAGCCCCGCTGAGGCTGACGGTAAAATTGCTTCATTTGTTTTCCAGCTTTTAGATGGAAAAAAAACAACAAACAACCACACTTGATATAAAATCACCTTCCTCACATTATCTTTTTTTTCATTTGTGGACACAAAGTTTGAACTGAGCATAAAGATACGCTCGTATTACCTTCCAGCATGAGTATCAAACAGGCGTCTAGCGCTGGTTACCAGAGCAGAATAGCAAAACAAACCCCCCAAAAAAGCAAAAAAAGGAACCATCCTTGTGTCTCTTCCTCCGTTATGGCTATTGTCTGTCACTTTGAGAGATAAAGGAAGAATATGTCGGATGTTTCAGGTGAACGGTCACCACTCGTTCCACAGCTGACAGAAAGCACAGAAATCTCAGACGAACATCAGCGCGTCTTCTGATTTTCATCTTCAGTTTCTGAAAGCAGCAGCGATATATATTGATACTGTTTAGAACGGTTCACATTTAGATAATAAAAAGGTCATGCTTGATGTGTTGAACACGTTAGGGGGCGTCGACTGAAATCTCTCTCGAGTCTGTAGCAGCTTCCTTTGTTCTTCTACTCAATATTTGCAGATTATTAAAAAAACAAAACATAATGGCTTTTGTTCATCCTTCTTTTTTTCTTTGTTTAAAAAGTAAAAGTGGATTGAAGACATGGAGGACAGACAGAGGGGGCGGGGAAAAGCCACTACAGACTAACAGGAGGTGACTGATTGGGAGTTTGGTCTGCTGTGGAGGGGCATGCTGGCAGACAAACAGAGCATGAGGACAGGAGCGTTTGGGTTAGCAGTGAGCTCGCTCATCACAGCTGCTGGGCTCGACCAGTTTCTGCTCTCCTCACACTGTGATGAGTGGGATGATTACCTTTATATACACGGTCACTCAGGCGTCCCTCGCGGCTGATCCGACGTTACTCGAGGTCTGCTCAGTTATTTTGAGGAAACTTGGTACACTCTTAAAAGGTGGAATTCCTACTTGTTCCCAAATAATGCTGGAATGAAACCAGTTTCTCCAAACGCTTGGGGCTTTACGGTGTTTTCGTGGTCGCTGGAATTGGCGGCGGCGGTGACGGGTTTCAGCAGCAATGCGATGAGTTAGCGTGGCGGCTGGGAGCCGTGGCAGGAAGCCGTTTTACTGCGGCAACTCGGCAACGGGTCTCTTCTGTTTGAGCGTGTCGATGAGCGACAGGACGCCACGCTTCACGCTGGTGGAGACTCGGCGGGACACGGAGTCTCCGGGTGGCGATGAGCCGCAGGCCTTCTGGGAGGGCGGTCGGGCCACCAAGCACTTCTGATACCGCAGCTGACAGGACGGAGGGGCAGAGCACAGAGACGCACGGTAAATAACAGAGAGTTACAGCTGCTGAGCACACCACTGTCCAAATGTGTGTGTGTGTGTGTGTGTGTGTGTGTGTGTGTGTGTGTG